TCAAAACCGCTCAACTACATGGAAACTGAACAACCTGCTCCTGAATGACTACTGGGTAAATAACGAAATGAAGGCAGAAATAAAGATGTTCTTTGAAACCAATGAGAACAAAGACATAACATACCAGAATCTCTGGAACACACTTAAAGTAGTGTGTAGAAGGAAATTTATAGCACTAAATGCCCACAAGAGAAAGCAGGAAAGATCTAAAATCGACACCCAAAGATCACAATTAAAAGAACTAGAGAAGCAAGAGCACACATATTCAAAAGCTAGCAGAAGGCAAGAAATAATTAAGATCAGAGCAGAATTGAAAGAGATAGAGACCCCAAAAACTCTTCAAAGAAATCAATGAATCCAGGAGCTGGTTTTTTGAAAACATCAATAAAATTGATAGACTGCTAGCAAGACTAGTAAAGAAGAAAAGACAGAAGAATCAAATACATGCAATAAAAAACGATAAAGGGGATAGCACCAATGATGCCACAGAAATACAAACTACAATCAGAGAATACTATGAACACCTCTACGCAAATAAACCCGAAAATCTAGAAGAAATGGATAAATTCCTAGACACATACACCCTCCCAAGACTAACCCAGGAAGAAGTTAAATCCCTGAATAGACCAATAATAGGCTCTGAAATTGAGGCAATAATTAATAGCCTGCCAACCAAAAAAGTCCAGGACAGATGGATTGACAGTCGAATTCTACCAGAGTTACAAAGAGGAGCTGGTACCATTCCTTCTGAAACTATTCTAATCGACAGAAAAAGAGCGAATCCTCCCTAACTCATTTTATGAGGCCAGCATCATCCTGATATCAAAACCTAGCAGAGACATACACACAAAAAAAGAGAATTTTAGACCAATATCCCAGATGAACATTGATGCAAAAATCCTCAATAAAATACTGGCAAGCTGAATCCAGCAGCACATCAAAAAGTTTATCTAGCACGACCATGTTGGCTTCATCCCTGGGATGCAAGGCTGTTTCAACATACACAAATCAATAAACATGATCCATCATATAAACAGAACCAAAGACAAAAACCACATGGTTATCTCAATAGTTGCAGAAAAGGCCTTCGACAAAATTCAACAGCCCTTCATGCTAAAAACTCGAATAAACGAGGCATTGATGGAACGTATCACAAAATAGTAAGAGCTATTTATGACAAACCCACAGCCAACATCACATCCAATGGGTGAAAACTGGAAGCATTCCCCTTGAAAACCAGCACAAAATAAGGATGCCCTTTCTCACCACTCCTATTCAACATAGTGTTGGAAGTTCTGGCCAGGGCAATCAGGCAGGAGAAAGAAATAAAGGGTATTCATTTAGGAAAAGAGGATATAAAATTGTCCCTGTTTGCAGAAGACATGACTGTATATTTAGAAAATCCTATCATCTCACCCCAAAATCTCCTTAAGCTGATAAGCAACTTCAGCAAAGTCTCAGGATACAAAATCAATGTGCAAAAATCACAAGCATTCTTATACACCAGTAACAGACAAACAGAGAGTCAAATCATGAATGAACTCCCATTCACAATTGCTTCAAAGAGAATAAAACACCTAGGAATCCAACTTACAAGGGATGTGAAGGACCTTTTCAAGGAGAACAACAAACCACTGCTCAATGAAATAAAAGAGGACACACACAAATGGAAGAACATACCATGCTCATGGATAGGAAGAATCAATATGGTGAAAATGGCCATACTGCCCAAGGTAATTTATAGATTCAATGCCGCCTCCATCAAACTACAAATGACCTTCTTCATAGAATTGGAAAAAACTACTTTAAAGTTCATATGGAATCAAAAAAGAGCTCACATTGCCAAGACAATCCTATGCAAAAAGAACAATGCTGGAGGCATCACACTACCTGACTTCAAGCTATATTACAAGGCTACAGTAACCAAAACAGCATGGTATTGGTACCAAAACAGAGATATAGACCAATGGAACAGAACAGGGCCCTCAGAAATAATACCACATATCTATAACCATCTAATCTTTGACAAACCTGACAAAAACAAGAAATGGGGAAAGGTGCTGGGAAAACTGGCTAGCCATATGTAGAAAGCTGAAACTGGATCCCTTGCTTACATCTTATACAAAATTTAATTCAAGATGGATTAAAGACTTAAATGTTAGACCTAAAACCATAAAAACCCTAGAAGAAAACCTCGACAATACCATTCAGGACATAGGCATGGGCAAAGACTTCATGACTAAAACACCAAAAGCAATGGGAACAAAAGCCAAAATAGACAAATGGGATCTAATTAAACTAAAGAGCTTCTGCACAGCAAAAGAAACCACCATCAGAGTGAACAGGCAACCTACCACATGGGAGAAAATTTTTACAATCCACCCATCTGACAAAGCACTAATAGCGAGGATCTACAAAGAACTTAAACAAATTTACAAGAAAAAATCAACCCCATCATAAAGTGGGTGAAGGATATGAACAGACACTTCTCAAAAGAAGATATTTATGCAGCCAATAGACATATGACACATGAAAAAATGCTCGTCATCACTGGCCATCAGAAAAATGCAAATCAAAACCACAATTAGATACCATCTCACACCAGTTAGAATGGCAATCATTAAAAAGTCAGGAAACAACAGATGCTTGAGAGGATGTGGAGAAATAGGAACACTTTTACACTGTTGGTGGGACTGTAAAATACTTCAACCATTGTGGAAGACAGTGCGGCGATTCCTCAAGGATCTAGAATTGGAAATACCATTTGACCCAGACATCCCATTACTGGGTGTATACCCAAAGGAATATAAATCATGTTGCTATAAAGACACATGCACACGTATGTTTATTGCAGCACTATTTACAATAGCAAAGATTTGGAACCAACCCAAATGTCCAACAATGATAGACTGGATTAAGAAAACGTGGCACATATACACCATGGAATATTATGCAGCATTAAAAAAGAATGAGTTCATGTTCTTTGCAGGGACACAGATGAAGCTGGAAACCATCATTCTGAGCCAACTATCGCAAGGACAGAAAACCAAACACCGCATGTTCTCTCTCATAGGTGGGTATTGAACAATGAGAACACTTGGACACAGGGTGGGGAACCTCACACACCGGGGCCTGTCGTAGGGTGGGGGCAGGGGGGAGGGATAGCATTAGGAGATATACCTAATATAAATGACAAGTCAATGGGTGCGGCACACCAACATGGCACATGTGTACATATGTAACAAACCTGCACATTGTGCACATGTATCCTAGAACTTAAAGTATAATTTAAAAAGAATTTAATTAATTTAAGTCTAAAGTAAGTATTAATAGGTTAAAAACTTACTACTGTCATTTTGTTAATTGTTTTCTTGGTCTTTTTTAGCTCCTTTGTTCCTTCTTCCTCTCTTGTTGTCTTGTTTTGTGATTTTATTATCTTTTTTTTAGTATGCTTTGATTCCTTTCTCTTTATTTTTGTGTATCTACTACAGGTTTTTTTCTTTGTGGTTTCTATGAGGCTTAAATAAAATAGCTTATAGTTATAACAGTCTATTTTAAGCTGATAAAAACTTAACTTTGACCACATAGAAAAACTATTCTTTAACTTCTCATCCTCCCGTATTTTGTTATTGATGTCACAATTCACATTTTTTTGCTAAGTTCAAAGTATTATTTCCTTCACTTCTAATTACAAATAAGTTTTACCTTTTATTGTATTTCATTATACAATTTTACATAGTACCACTACTGTTTTAAGCAATAATTAAGCAAATTGAACTACTGTTTTTGAGCTCTATTTTTCAGCATATAGATTTACCTTAAAAAGTACAAACCAAGCACAGTGGTGCAATTTTCCAGGGACTTTCAAATTACTTAAATATTTACAAATATATAACCCCTCTGCTGGAACACATGAAAATTTTGGTGTTCAGAAGAAACACTCCATGTATATGAAATCTTTAAATGTCAACATTTGCACAGTTCCAAATACTCCCGAGAAAGGTCAGTCTTACTGTCATTTACCTCTGCATTTTTTCACACTTCAGTGTATCTTGGGGAACCATAACCTCGGTTACTCGATGTACCACTAATTGCACAAAATATATGTAATGTGTTGCTAATCCAGGGAGAATGCATTGTGTCTTGTTGTAATATCTGCTCGTGGATAATGTCAATTCTTTTATTATGTTTCTGAAATTTGACTTTAGCCTTTCATGGTACTCAACTTGATCTTCTTTTTTTGTTTGTTTGTTTGTTTTTTGGGTTTTTTTTTTTTTTTTTTTTTTTGGTTTTTTTTTGAGACGGAGCCTCGCTCTGTCGCCCAGGTTGGAGTGCAGTGACCGGATCTCAGCTCACTGCAAGCTCCGCCGCCCGGTTCACGCCATTCTCCTGCCTCAGCCTCCCGAGTAGCTGGGACTACAGGCGCCCGCTACCTCGCCTGGCTAGTTTTTTGTATTTTTTTAGTAGAGACAGGATTTCATCGTCTTAGCCAGGATGGTCTCGATCTCCTGACCTTGTGATTCGCCCGTCTCGGCCTCCCAAAGTGCTGGGATTACAGGCTTCACCCACCGCGCCCGGCCAACTTGATCTTCTTTAATTAGCCACTCATTTAGTTCAAGTGCAATGCTACATGCTTGTATGAATTTCCTAAACATGTCTTTCAACTCACTCACTTTCTTAGATGGATACTTGCTAGCTTGGCTGTCATTTAAGAAAGCCCTTGCTTATGCTAATGGACCTGCATTGACCTGCAGGGAAACACAGCCCTGCAATTTAAGTTGGAGCTGAATCATGTCCATGTCAACCGAGGAGCAAAGCGTTTGAAGAATCTGCAGTTTTATCTTTTATTTCATCAGTGGCAACATCAATTGGTTTTAAATTAATCTGCTGTTTACAGTTAATAGGGATCCTCTTCTTTACATAGGGAAATGAGTTTGAAGTTGTCAAGATTTTACGGCATTGCACTGTTCTTCCGTACAACCCTGCTTTTTGCCTGAAAAAGTCTAAGGAGCCACAAAAACAAATCTGCTGATACTATGATTTTTCAAACTCAGTCTTTCTTTCTGTGAGTTCTTTGTCATCAAAATAAGGCTTCACATAAGTAACTTGCTTGTGAGCATATTTTGGATCAAGCTCTTTGGCATTTACCTTGTCTGTATCTTGAATTATTTTGACATTCTCCATACCAAATTTTTCACCATAAAGTTTAACAAGTCTCAGGGAAATTTCTGAGAGGCCAGTGAGCTTTGGTTCTTTATAGATGTAAAGATGTTCCATCTTCTTCTTCAAAAAAAGACTGGCCATAAAGGCAACCCTGAAGAAAGTGCCTAAAAGTCTTTTTATTTTTTTTTTGTATGCATAACTTCCAGAATTTTTGTGTAAGCTCCATGAAGAGTTCTATAAACTTGAGTACGTTTCTTAAACCCATGATTTTTCTCATAAATTGGAATGATCAACTTGGAAATCTCAGAAATTATTTCATAAAGTTTCACCTTCCATAAGCTATCCACACATTGTTCTAGCAACTCCAGCAAGACTTCTTCACTATAATGGACATCCATCATCCCAGCATCTTCTTTCATTGCTCCTTCTTCATCTATATTGGGAGTAATTTTCTTGAAGGGTGAACATTCGTTAAAAAATTTTTTTTAAATGAAGAAACTCTGCAACTAGAGCTGCTACATGGACATAACACATTGCAGCCTCTGAAAAATCTCCATTTTTTACATGAATGTTGGCCATGCTATCAAGTCAGGTTTTCCTGAGCTCTGGGATACCTGCATAGGACTTGGTTAAGCTACAGTGGAGATCAATTCACATTTCAGGGTCTTTCTCATGCTCCTTCATTTGGGCAGTGGCCATAAGAACAATGCAGATTCTCTTGGTCAAGTCTTTGACTTATGTGGGAAAGGCAGTTGCTTTCATAGGTCTGTCACTATTTGCAAAATTATTGATAATGAATAAAGACTCCTGAAATCTTGATCTTCCACTTAGTGTTACATCAGCTATCAGGTGGCTTACAGAAATTATTATCTATAGATGTGTCCTCTAAACGGTCTTCCTTTTGGTATACTCAAAGTTGTTTCTCAACAAAAGATACAAAAATGCAGATGTTTCATTTCTGGTTGAGTTAATCTTCAATGTGCAGCACTTTAAAACCTCATAGCAAAATGCAGCACACATGTTTACTCTTCCTTTGAAAAAGTCTGAAGGAAACTTACTGATGAAAGCTCTCAGTGAGGCAAATACATGTTTCAGCAACACTTCAGATTGTCCATTTTTAAGAAAAGCAAGATGAATATCAAACATCTTTTTCATTAATGGGTTGTGATCATCATTATTTAAAAGTTGGGTCTTGAAGCCCTGATGGAAAATGACATGGTATCTAGTACTGTTAGGGAAATTTCAGTAGCTGTATTGCCTTCAAGAAGTTCGTGGTGGAAAATGTCTGTTCAGTTGTTCTAGAACTGTGATTAAGTGTAAATGAACTTTCTAGGCTACTAAGATGCTGAAGCCGGGTCTGCATTATCCCTGATCTGTTTCAAAGGGCAGGCATGGTTTGTGATTTTTGGTCTATTCTGAAGTGTTTTGACAGCCAGGCATCATGCACCTTGCTATGTTTCTTTTCCCCATATATCTAAAGTGAAACAAGCATACTTCTAAAAGTATAAAAATGTGTATGATCTCCTGAAGAGATACTTTATTCCAGTAAGTTAAGAGAGTATCTTCCGAAATCACTTTTACTATATACAGGTAGCACATCAAGAGGCTTCTGATTTCATACTGATCCAGGCAGTTATACTGGGATACGCTACTCCTTGTAGAACTCTGTCGGGTATTTTCACCAGCTGGAAGTTTCCCGATCTGGAAATCCTGTTGCTCCTTCTGGGATAAGGAAACCTCTTGAATCTTCTCTCTTAATTCCATGTCCATTTTGAAAAGACCCATAAGCAGTGCCTTTGTCAGTGCTCAGACTCCCTCTATTGTCAGGTGAAGTAAAGCCATATGGAAACTCATCTCTGGATGTAGAATTAGGCATAGCTGCACAAGAATACAAGGTAGCTTGACCTGTTAATCGCTGTATATTTTCCAAAAGCACTCCAACAAAGGGGAGGTACAATTGTGCTATTTTGGCTTGTTGGTTCTTGTGCTGGTATCTTGTGTCAAATGCATGTTTTATCAAAATGTTCTTTATGACAGAGATAGCTGTATATCTGATCTCATAATTGTCCTGAAGAGCAATGGAAGTTTCCCTCAGAAGTAGACCAAACAAGAAGTGATGCTTGCAATACTCATCTGATAAACTGTATTCAAGAATCAAGAATCTTGAATACAGTTTAGGTTTTGCAAATGCCATTGGCAAATTCAGAGGAATGTAATGTTCGTGATTGCAGATTGTTTGCAGAAATTCAAACTTGTATTCAGCCAGAACATTAGGATCTTTGGGGCTGAATCCAGATATATAGTCAAATTGAAAACAAATCCTCTATCCATTAGTGTCAAACAGCACTTCAGGAAGCTAGTCAAACTGTAATTCACATTTCTGGACTCATTGGGAATCTCCGCATACAGAATAGTCACATGGTTATTGCAAGAAGCAGTGAATGTAAGGCATGATGATATGCCTCAGGAAATCTCTGGCCTCGGGGAAGCTTAATCTTACTCTCTTTCAACAAGTATGTGGCCATCAACTTTGCAATTATTTCAAAGAAAAACCATGAGTACTTTAGCAATGTGTTTATTGCTAAAAAATCTGCAGACTGTTTCAATAGTGCTATCATCGTAGCAGCCAGGGTTTTACGTATCAGCTGAGCCTAAGACGCACTTGGTTTTTCAGGTCCGAAGCAATACTTTATGAATGATCTTAAATAACTATCCAAGCCTTCTTCATGGCACTTTGATACAATATGTAAGAGAACCATGGTGCAGTTGATAGGAACATCATCTTCATGGATCATATTTGTGAGAACTCAGAAGAGTTGCCTAAGAATTACAGTTAGAAACTGTATCATGACTTGGATCTCCATGGCATGCAAAGACTTTAAGTATTTAATGAGCTCCCCAGAACTTCTTTCGAGCCTGACTGAATCAGCTGGCAATGATGGAAGAATTTGTGCAAATGCAGATCTTAAGTGTAAATGGTAGATTCTAAGTGGCTTTTAATCTTCCACAAACACTTTGCACCATCTACCTGTTTAATACCCATGTTACATTGTCTTCTTGATTATCCATCATTCAGATTCAAGTAGCCTGGGGGAAGATTGGCAGAAACTGGCAGCTGCTGCCCAAATGTGATGATTATACCATTTTTCAGCAAAGGTACCAAAATTCAACTGGAGTTTCAACTGTGTCTTGCTTTTTGGTTGTTCCCTTTGTGATAATTTCACAACTTACATGATAAAAAGTGAAAAGCAAATGATGTTTTTGATGGAAGTGAATGCGAAGCTCAATTTTAATGTCATCATAGAACTCTGGGTTTTTATTGTGATGCGAGACAACAGCATAAGCATTTGTGGTAAAAACAGACCCTGCAGGTTTTCCATAAACACACTTTAGAGCACTAGCATCACTTTCATCTGAATCCTGGAATTCCATACAGACTGAAATGTTCCTTGCCTTGGCAAATGTTTTCTAGCTATCGTGTTTTAATTGCAAGAGATATACATACAAATGGTTTTTGTAAATAGTAAATGGATAACAATCTTTTGTCATTTCTGGAACAAACTTTTCAACCTCCATAGTAATATTTTGGCACTGGGGCAGGCTTGGAACCTGGGTCTGCAGAAGTAGGCCCAATGCTGGGGCAGGCCTTGAATCTGGGGCTGCAGGGACTGACCTGAAGCCTGAGACTGTAGGGGCTGGCCTTGTGCCTGTGTTCACTGGAGCAGGCCTGGTGCTGGGATCCACAGCGAAGTCTGCTCACTACACTCTCCTTCCCTCATGTGGTGGGTCTCTTTCTGCATTGCACTGTTTAAGTTTGGGGGAGCAGTGATGCTGGCAACATGGAACTGTCCTTCCTACCCTCTTAAATGTGCTTTTCTTATTTCCATGCTCTAGCCAGGTGCTGTAATCTCTCATCTGGATTCGTTGGCTCTTACAAAGGTATTTTTGTACATAAGTGGTTGCTCAAATTGATGTTTCTTCAAGGGGATGACTGCTAGAAACTCGTATTCTGCCATCTTGCTGACATCAGCTCCTCTAATACCCAAGACAGCAGATGAACAAGTGTTTTTTTCAGATAGAGCTCTGGACTTGAGGTTTTTTTAAATAGAGACTTCATACAAAAGATCTCCAGTCTGTCTACATTTTCAAACATAGAATCTATAATTCAGTGACTGTCGGGTTCTCAAAAAACTATTAGTTCTTTACCCATCAATCCCAGAAGATTCATTAATCAGAGAATAATTGGGATACATCACCAGGCTAGGGGTTCTCTACCATCAGTGAACAGAAGAGGAGGTATATAGTCCCAGCATTTCTCCCCTCATCTTTGTACCCTCTCCTCCCTAGATGATTCTGTTCACTCCAAGGATAAAGGTGGAGAAATCTATTAGAAACAAAACAACATAGCCTGGATAAGACAAATCCAGGGAAAGATGGGTTGTGATGCTTTCCTACTTCATTAACCTACTTTAAATAAAATGTTTAATCTTAAATATGTTCTGATTACTCTGGAATTAAGCTTAGAACCCTCTTCCTAAAGAAGGAAATATGGCTTAGAAAAATAACAAATTTATAACCAATCATTGCAGGCACCCACTGGACTTGGAAAACCATAGATGCACAGGAACACTTTGTACTGTTTTTGCAACTTTCCTGTAAGTCTGAAATTATCTCAAAACAAAAAGTTTTAGAAAAAAATTCATAGATCTGAGGTTGTCAAAGGTCTAGGAAATGAGAATATCTAGTGTTTAATTAGAGCTTTTTGCATTGCTAACATATAAATTCCTCTGAACCCTTCCCAATTTTTGGGTAAACTCAACTACACATAAAAATGACAGTGAGAGTGAGCAGTTGAGTCTCACCCCTGGGTAACTGTCATGAAGGAAAGAACACATGTGAAATAGCAAGATAACCCATAAATCGTTCTAATTCAGCAGAGAGTGTAGAGGAATATAAAGAACCACAAGGATCTGCAATCATGGGAACCACTTTGTGTTTCCACAGGATGTAAAATAAAGATTTGAGACAACATTATATGGATATTCAGGAATCAGGCCCCCACAGTGGTTGGCATTTGGTCCACATGTTAGAAGTTCTTAGTTCAGTGTGGTATTTGGTAAATGTTATCTATTGACAGTATTGTTTAAAATTGGAGCACAGGTAGGAAGGTCCATCTGTGGCAACATAGGAAGGAGGAACAGCCAGGACCTGGCAAGTGATCTCCCCAGTAGTTTCTAGGGGAAATACTGGGAAAAAGAGAAACTGCAAAACTCAAAGGATCATCCACAACATTCAGCAGCCTCAGGCAAAATTCCAGAATCAGTTTGTACCAAGATGAGCCTAAGGTGAATTGTAGAATCTCAAGAATAGATAACTCACTAGCTTAAAATTCATGCTTAAAACTCCAGATAGGCAAGTGAGCAAGGAGTTTTTCTGAAGGATACCTGCCCTAGGTTTGCAAGGCTATGAGTGAGGTTATCATTCTATTTTAGAGAGATTCAGTAATGCCTGAATTCTACCACTTACCTCTTCCACATTTGTGGTTCTCAACTAGAGTACCAATGCACATAGGACTCACAGCCAAATAAGAAATAAAATACCAAATTATTAATGCTTGGGCAAGCAAATGATACTCCCTGTTGCTGGTCTTTCCAGTTAAATTGAAAGAATATTATCTTCAAAAAATGGTGCTAGGACAAATGGATATCCACATGCAAAAGAATAAAGTTGTACTCCTATCACACACTATATGCAAAATTAACTCAAAAAGATCAAAGACCTAAATTTGAGAGCCAAAATGTAATAGAGTCTAATTCTAGTTTTTGATGTTTGACTGTGAATAACTTTTAAGCCTCATCCATGACTTTTCCCTTCTTCCACACGTCTGGGAAAGCTGATAAAGCTCAGATGCTCTCACCTTTAGTGTCTTCAGGGAATTGAAATTGAAACACATAAGCTCCTGCTTGCGTGCAGGAAACCTCACCCTGGCCCAATCCCCTACAATAGAAATCTCTAGCCAGTTTCATTTCCTTGCCTTTCAATCCATTTACAGACAAGCTTGAGAAGCCTACCCTGCTTTAACCCAAAATCCTCACAAGTAATAAAACTTTTCACACTGTTGGGGTGTGTGGGTGTGTGTGTGTATGATCATCAGTCTTGACATTCAAATCAAATTGTGAGTGGTAATCTAGCCTGTATCTATGGAGTAGTCACAAAAGTTGATACTGTGAGCCAGATTGTATCGATGTTGACCACCACCACTGGGGATCTTCCTTCTCTTGCTCTTAACTGGGTACAAACCATTGCATGTAGCAGGTAGGATATTTCCTCTGCTTGCTAGCAAGCTTGCACTTTGAGTTGTGCTGTACTACGCAACAGGTGTCGAGTCCTACGAAACCTCTGTTAAAAATTTAGCTGAAATAGGCCGAGTGCGGTGGCTCATGCCCTGTAATCCCAGCACTTGGGGAGGCCCGAGACAGAGTGGATCACAAGGTCACGGAGATCAAGCGATCCTGGCTAACACGGTGAAACCCTGTCTTTACTTAAAAAATGCAAAAATTAGCCGGGCTGGTGGTAGATGCCTGTAGTCCCAGCTACGTGCGGGGCTGAGGCAGGAGAATGGCGTAAACCCGGGAGGCAGAGCTTGCAGTGAGCCAAGATCTCGCCATTGCACTCCAGCTTGGCAACAGAGCCAGACTCCATCTAAAAAAAAAAAAAAAAAAATTAGCTGAAGGAGTCGAGATTTTATATTTGCATTTTGGGGCTAAAAGCTACAGCATTGAGGCCTCCATACAAGTGGTCTTGGTTCATCGTGTCTCAGGCTGGACCCTATCTGTGTACTTAGCAATACAGCGTGACCAGCGGCTGGGTTCTGGGTAAAGACTCCTTACCTGTAATCAGCGGGTTGTTATCTCAACCTGGGCACTGCTCCCCTTGGTCTACTAAAATGCTTTTGGAAAGACCTATCAACTCTATGCCAAGATATAGCTCCATCAGTGGTTGCTCATCAAAAGACACAATCATTACAAAAGGAGATTTGTGTTGTTGTTGTTGTTGTTGTTTGCTGGTGTCATTTGGGGTTTTTTACTTCAGTGACTGCTGTAAAGTTAAGACTATCCACTTGTGCTTTCTTTTTTTATTGGTATTTTAAGTTCTGACGTACGCATGTGCACAATGTGCAGATTTTTTATATGTGCCATAGTTGGTTTTGCCTGCACGCATATCAACTCGTCATTTACATTAAGTATTTTCCTAATGCTATCTCCCCAGGCCACCCCACAACAGGGCCCAGTGTGTGATGTTCCTGCCTATGTCCAACGATCTATTGTTAATTCCCATATGAATAACATGTGGTGTTTTGGTTTTCTGTCCTTGGATAGTTTGCTGAGAATAATGTCTTCCAGCCTTCATCCATGTTCCTGCCAAAAGACATGCTGAAACTCATCCTTGTATTATGACTGCATAGTATTCCATGTGTATATGTGCACATTTCTTAATCGCGTCTATCATGATGGGACACTTTGGTTTGGTTCCAAGTCTTTGCGCTATTGTGTGAATACAGTGCCACAATAAACAAAGCGCGTGCCAGTGTCTTTATAGTGCATGATTTATAATCCTTTGTGGTATACACCCAGTAATGGGATATCTGGGGTAATGGTATTCTAGTTCTAGATCCCTGGAGTGAATCACCACACTGTCTTCCACAATGGTGAAACTAATTTCCACTCCCACCGACAGTGTAAAACGCGTTCCTATTTTCTCACATCCTCTCAAAGGCATCTGTTGTGCTTCTGACTCTTTTAATGGATTGCCCATTCTAACTGGTGTGAGATGGTATCTCATTGTGGTTTGATTTGCATTTCTTAATGATGCAGGTGATGATGCAGCATTTTTTTCAGCAAAATTGTTGCTGCATGAATGTCTTTTTTTGAGAAGCATCCTGTTCATATTTCCTTTCGACACTTTTTGATGGGATTGTATGTCTTTTTTCTTGTAAATTTGTTTAAGTTCTTTGTCGATCTCTGGTATTATAGCCCTT